ACCCAAAGAGAGTAAAGACACTGGATGTTCAAAGCCACGTTAAGTTCAAACTTTCATTACAGCGAATTAAAATGATTCAGCCATTTGCTGTCGTAAGCAAATTTATTTGTGGAACGTTATGAAATGCCCCTCAAAACTGCATTACACCATTGTATTTTTGCTCACTACAGAGAAAACAGAATATAAAATCCCTTGTTTTGCACCCTCTATCAATTCAAAAGAATTAATTGGTCTTTACTCAGGTGTATTTATGTAGTCAGTGATTTTACACTTGCAGGACTCCTATTTAAATTAGACCACCCCAGGGCTATGTATGTCTGTTTTACTTTTCAGCTTACTTGGAATGAGATATTTTATTAAAGCAAAGTTTATGTTCCTTGAAACATTTTTCCTGTTTCTAGTGCAATTCTTTTTCTCTCTGTGTGTAAATTAATCCATATAATACTAGTCAAATTGATCAATACCAATTTTAATAGATTTTTAAATGATTCTGACTGAAGTATGATCCCCCCCCCCCAAAACTGCATTACACCAAGTCCTGAAAGGTTGTGGAGGTGGAAGCTTTGTAAAAGGAGATAATTATTTTATAATTCTAAAATAAAACATAAGATAAACCTGTCTTGTTACCATCATCATTGTTGAACAATAATTACATTTATTTTATATACTGTCATCAATGTACATGGATTTTCCAAAAGGAATGAGAAAGGAAGAAAAGAGCAAGTCCCTGTCCTTGAGAAGACATTTTATAAACCATATAGTATGGTTTCATTTAGTCACAGTACTTTGCATGTCTATTCAAAGGTCCCATGGAATTCAAGGAGACTTACTTCCAGAAAAGTATAGGATTACAGCCTCAGTCTCTTAGACTAGCTCTTTTGGATTCTTAGGTTCCAATCCTATACATACTTATTTCAGAGTAAGTCTCAGTGAAATCAATGGAACTTAATTCTGAGTAAACTAGACACACGTAGAATTATGCTATTACACTGCAATTCTCCGCAGGTTTTCTCAGAACAAGGCATGCTCCCTAGTAAATATGATTAGGATTTCAACCTTAGTCCATGTGGGCAAAGAATAATAAAATACTCAATTACCCTTACCCATACACACTTGTTAGTGTGTGATTATTGGTGTGGTTGTAGACATTTTGCAATAATTAGTGTGAATAAAGTTCAGAAGATTATAATTTGGGCCCATGAGTCTGAAATAAAATGTGTGGGGTTATGAATGCAATCTGAGCATTTTCCCCAGCAATTCTGCTTTATACTCTCACAAAAAGGCTATGTATCTTGTATATGTCTAGCAATATTTGAGAATTATAGTTTCTTTTTAAAGACTTCTTTTCATTATTACAATTATATATACCTGTAAATGTCAGTATAAATATTTTGTATGTCTAATAAGTATACTAGCTGTTCAGCTGTGTATTCCACTTTAGTATCTTAAGAGAGAAAGAGATCTCATAAGACATTAAAGAAGCATAACAAATGATGATTATAATAACATAGAATCATATCTGCTTTGAACTTTAAAATTCTTTGTCTTCATAATACATGAAGAAATGGATATCTGAACATAAATGTTGAAGTAGTTTAGTGGTTAAGTGCATAAGATATGAACTGGCAAGTCTATATATCAAATATCAATTCATCTATGAACTCACCAGAAGGCTTTTAAAGCAAAGCATTATCTCGTACCCCAAGTCTCTCCCACCCCTGATAGTATAAGAATAGAAGTGCTTACTGCCATATATTACAGAACTGATTCATAGATTACATGGTTACCATTTATCTGTGGCCCCATCTCATAACAGTCAGGTTAAGCTCTGAATGTAATAAATCCAATAGGATAGGCCAACAAAATGAATACTAGCTACATTACCGTTGTCCTTGCCTGGAATGAATGGTACTGATATATGGGGTGACCACACAATTTCCCTATCCCATAAGTTTTCCGGCATGCAGATATTACTGGAACAAGGTAAATAGTAAATACACCACCAGGTCAGTAGATATAGTATATAAAGTGCTTTGAGCTGCAGAGATGATGGATTATGAGTAACCTTGTATACCATTGTGCAATATAGCATGCATTAGTTAAGAGGTGATGAAGTTCTAGTCATCCAGAAAAAGAAAATGCTAGCTATTTGAGTACTAGAGATAGCTTTGCTATTTTTTTCTGAAAATGATATCTTTACTTAAAATCCTAAAAGTGCTGATCTACACTGTGAGGAAAAGAAGTAGGTACATGATGACTGGCATATAAAAAGTATATAACTAATATATTTTGCAATAAATATTGATGTATTAATGTACTTGAAAGAAAATATGATGCTTATTTCAAACACAGGTAAGAATAATTAAAAGCAGAAGTTTTCTGGAAAGGAAGGAAGGAAACAAATAATGGACTTATATCATGCAATTTGAGTCTTGCAATGCATTAAAAGCATATCATGCTTGAGTCCAACATGGTATGGACATCTTGACTGCCTTATATACCCTGTAATAGTGCACATAGTCCCCTGTCTGTATAATAGTGAATGAAACAAATGTTTTCTTTCTATTTCATGATGCTGAATGGTACATATAATGTAGGTTTCTCTATCAATTTGCCTTTATTTCCTCTCTATCTCTGTACATGCACACACAAATCACAGAAGTCAGATTCTGCATAAAAGGCTAGCAGCAATTAGATAGTCAGGTGCCATGGGTCTCAAAGCAGGAGCCCAGGCACAGTTTCCTTAACCATTGCACTTTTATATAATTAAAGCTAGGTATAGCCATACATTTTGCAGTGAATCCACTTTGCGGAAGATGCCAGAAAGCTAAAATACTGCATGGTTAATGAAATGCAGCCAAACTGCATCTTGAATAAATGAACAATAATTAAATCCCTGATTCTAAAAGCATTTTGATGAACTGAGGCATTTTGAAATGATATTTTGACATTGAAACATTGATGGGCCTGAACATTCATTCCATATGCAAAAGCATGAAGGTCTTATATTGTTTGTTAATAGTGGCACCAGTCACTCCCTGTTGGGTTGCAATAGCCTGTAAAATTATATTCTCTGTGTGAAAACGAAATTAGATGTAAGCAAAATCCAACCCCAAAACTGATATCTAAATCCAACTCTATGTTATATTTCTAGAGCTAGGCTATGTTTCAGTCCATTGCAACTTGGATTATCCAGTTACAAATCTGTGGAACAGTCCTAAAAGAAAAAAAGCTACCTTCAGTCTTACTTGCAGCAGTATAGATTCTTTCTTTCATCCTACACTACATGTCTCGTTATGGCACTCTCACATATAGCTTAGTGAAAAGGCTTTACCCATATAACCTTGCTTTGAGGATCCTTTTCCCCTCACTGTCTCCTGCAGGGGTAGAATTCTCCACACTCAGAAATCAATAGGAGTTCATCTGTTGACATTCTGTGGCTTTTCTTGTCAGTATGAGTGTCCACAGATCACTAAGTACTAACACGATTGGTTGCCATGAGACTCCCAAAAGGAAGAAACATGGGGTCCAGAATGGCTCTGATGATACCGTTTATTAAAGCATCAGGGCAGAATATAAAGCTTTTGACCTGCACAAACAGTTCCTGAGAAGAATAAAACCCACTTGAAAGCTTTTCTGTGGTACTCAGCCAAAAGAGCTGGATTTTTAAAGTACGGTCTAAACCAGTTTGAAAACCAAGAGTGGTGGTGTTGTGTGTGCATTTGGTAGGACAGCCAATGTAGTTTACTGGATGCTGTGATTATTTAAGCTCTAGTATCTATGGTTTCAAATACTTGTGCAAGCACAAACTCACTGACTGGCCTACCATTAATCACCACTTCAGACATAGATTCCCATTTGTAAAATGGAAAAACTGGGCACCTATATGTAGTGCTAATGCGAGAACAAGCAATATAAAGAATGTGAAGATACCTTGCACAATAAAAGTGTAATAGGAAATGATTATGTTGGTGAGAATATTAGTGAAAGTACATGTGCATACCAGCAGGATATCAAGTTTCAAATGATCAAATCTGCAAAAGATTCCTTTGTCACAGAAAACTAAGGCCAAGATCCAGTCAGTCTCATTTGTCTACCCCAATCTTTTGCAGATGAATTTAATGTATGTGGTTATACTTGCAACCTTGTTTCACAAGGTCCCCAGCTTTTTCTGAAGTGGCTTTTTGGATGCCAATTTTCATGAAACTCTTGTGTTGAGATGGGCCTAAGAAGTCCCACTTATACTCCTGTGCATCCTTGAAAGCAATGCCCATATCCTTTGATACACCCAAAGAACACAGAAGTGAAAACAAAGTTTGCAGTTAGCAAGGCATCAGAAGGGGCATTACCTTGCCATGGTGAAGGGTAAAAAACAAGACAAAGGAGACAAATCTAGAGGGACTGGACTTTATACAGCCATTCTGGCCATACTACTCTTGGAGTGGGGGGGGGAGGTGTCTGTTAAAAAGCTTAAATAAAACCATCCACCCATCCATCTATGAATAATAGTTTTAATCAAGAAGTATTGCGAACCAAAGGTCTATTTTCAGAATCAGTTTTCATCTGAGCAAATCAAGAGTGGCAAAAGTCATTCAAATGGAGAGCCAACTGCCTATAAAAGTTTCATTGAGGCTTCTAATCAGTGGCACAGCTTCTGATCACTCTTGAGCCTTAGAATAATTAAGTGACCAGTGTGTCAGGGCCCAGGGAATCCTGCAGTTATCGCCTAAACCTGACTTGTTTTCCACCATGCCTGAAAATGCTTCTTCTCCATCAGTCTTCTAAGTGGGGCAAGTCAATTGACACTCCTAGATGAGAAGAAGCAAAGCTTTTGTTAGCCTGTGAGGTCACTGGTCACTCCATGCCCACGGAAGTTGCCCTATGCAACACACACCCCATAGCCTTAGAAAGGGATTTTTATTTTTATATTTTGACCATACTCAATAATGCTCTCTCACATAGCCCATTATTTCCTTTCCCACCCAACAGTTTCTCTTTACCTTGATTGCTGGAGACATGAGTGCAGCCCCCAGGGCCCACAGTCAGCAGAGGGAAGACAAGAATAAATTTCCAAAAGAAGCTCCTCATTTCACAGCCGCCCATGGCTGGTGATGCCTGAGCCCCTTGTCCTGGCCCCTGCGAGGGGCTGGGGCTTCAGCTTCTCTTCCCGCTCCAGGCTAACGGGTAATGCTCGAGGCCCCAGGAAGAAGGAGGATCCGGGCTACCAGATGCTGCCAAAGCTGGAGAAATCGCATTCACCACGGCAGGGGAGCATCCTGAGAAGAACAAGATTCCCTCCCAGCAGCAACAGAAGCCAAGGGGTAATGTTGAGTCTGGAAGGCGATGGGCTCGCGGGCAGGGCAAAGAGCTCAGAAGGCAAACTTTCCCAGGATCAGGCGCCCCATATGTATGTGTGTGTGTGTGTGTGTGGGGGGGTACCCAGGCGGGTGGCGCCCACCTGGCTGCCTTCTTCCACCTTGCTCCTTTCTCAGCCTTTCCTCAGCAGTCCGTTCGCAAGCAAAATCCCCCACAACTGCAACCGCCTCTGCCGCCGGGGGAGTAACATCTCCGCCCCCCCGCAGACCTCCCGTCCCCGCGTCTGACCATGAGGGACAGCGCCCGGCAGAGAGAAGAAAGATGCTCTTCTCCGGGTGGGAAGCGCCCTCCCAGAATAGCCTTTCAGGCGTGCGGCTGTAACGTGCTGAAACGCTGGACAGCTCCTCGCCTTTCCCCGAGTCGTCAAGCAAACTTGCCAAGGATTTCCCAGCCGCTCTGGCGGACTCCCCCGGCCTGGGACGGTAGCTCCCCGACGCCAAGCTGTCGCCAGTAGGACTCCGTTGGGCTTCTCTTCTTCCTCGGGTCTAGCGACATCGCCGTCCGTGCCTTTCCATCGGCTTCGGTCTGGCGCTGAAGGATTTCCCCTCTCTTTCTTTCTCGCTTTCCCGTCCCCTCTTGCTTTCTCGGAGAGATTTTTTTTTTTTTTTTTTTTAAAGCAAATCACCCCTCAGCAGTAGGGATAGAAGGGATCGATACTACCTGGCGTCTGAGCCGGCAAGAGGGCTGCTGAGGTTTTTCTGGGCAGGCAAACATTCCAGGCAGCAGCCACGGCTTGCTGCAGAAATCCCTCTTTCGTTTCCCCGCCAAAAATGGGGAGAGGGAAATCTCAGTAGTACCGGATCCTAAGTGGGAAGGGAGAAAGAAAAGGAAGCGTGCAAGGAAAGTGGTTGGACTCTTGTCACCTCTTCAGTCGTTCTCTTGAGAAGAGGTGAGACAGACCGGTAGGTATGGATGTGTGTACAGAAGAAGACGCTTGCTTTGCTTGGAAGCCGCCTGCAGGTCAAATGCAGCCTGTTCAGCACTAGAGGGGGTTAGTTGACAAGGGAAAAAGAGAGCGAGAGCGAGAGAGATCCCTCTTTCTTGCTTTGGCAAGGCTGCTGTGGCTAAACTTTACAACTGCGTTAGATTAAAAGGACACTGGTAATCCTTTGGGCATAGGTGGCAATTTGTTCTCTTAAACTTTTTTGCTCCTCCTCATGACAAACCATTCCTACCTTAGGTAATAAAATGCTTTCCCCTACTGTTTTCTGTCACTCAGCCACCTCACTCACACACCTGGGTTCTGCTTTTGAGGAGGAGGTGGGGGATGGGCCCTCCAATCACCTGCAACACTCATGAGAGAGCCAGCAAAAGTGATGGGCCCTGTTCCTAGCAGCAGCCTCCTTTTGCTCACTCACTCCAGCTCTTGCTGGTTCTCTTCTGCCTCTCTGTCCTATTCAGCAAGAGAAAGGGAGCAAGCAGGCAGAGGCCAGGTCTCTGCTTCTTCTTGTTCACCCCTCTCTCTGGGTGACACAAAAGGGAGGATTTGGTTCAGTGCACAGAATACCTACTTCTGTACTGCCTGGAGGAAGAGTTCAGATGAGCAAGTGAGAGATGTGGGGAACCTCCATGACCCTCCCTATGTTCTGCACCCCTCAGAGAAGGAGGGTGAGTGAGTGAGCAGAGGCACTTTCTGTACAGGCACTACCATGGGCCCAAGTCACCCTGCTGAAAAGCTCAGAGATGGTAAGCCAGGAATAGTTCTTGCTTTTTTCTGCTTGTGGATTTTCCTTCCTGCCCTCAGAAGCAGTGAACCACACTGAGAAGCCCATGGCTGCTTCTTGCAGGAGCAGTCATGACCTCTGCTCAATTGCTCAAGCTTTCCCTTCTCTAAGCAGGAAGAGAGAACAAGTGATGGTACAGCTTTCTCGAGTTGCTCATCTGTGCTTTCCCTCTGGAACACTTCTACCAAATAGGGCATCTTATCTCTTCGGGCAATATTGTGGGTGGGGGGTTTTCTCATTTTCTTACCAAGTGAGAAAAGTTACTACCCTTGTCCACTCACCCCTTGTCACAAGGTTTCATGGAAATTGTTTCTAGTTGGACTCAACCTCCAGCACCATGGCATTGACAGCAGAGTGCAGAATGTGTAGGAGAATCAGGTAGGTGGCTGCTCCTTCTTTGATTAGTTCCCTGTACTGCACTGCCCAAAGGCAGAAGACAGGCAAGCAGAAATATCCACTTGGCATACTCATGCTTTGTCTCTAGACAGCATGCAGACTCCATCCTTCTTTCTTTGGTGCTCAAAGTGGGTGAACAAGAAGGTGGAAAAAGAGGAGCTACTGCAGCTTTTTCTTTCCTGCATCCTTCCCTTTTCAGCCCCTGAAGAGACAAAGCTGAAAGGTTGTGCTGTCATGGGCAGTGAGGGTGGAAGTGGGCATTTTCCCATCTGGAGAGCCCTTCTCTTCTGTTCTTTTCCAGCCTCTGCTGAAGGGGTAGGGGAAAAGAGGATAAACTTCTATTTGCATCTAGAAGTATGCATCTACTGTATGCATAATTCTTTTTACCCAATCAACTTCTTTTCCTTTAAAGTTAAAGTGGCAGCGTTATCCATCTTTTCAAATAATTGCTCCATGTCACATTTCATTAAGGATAAGGCCTTGATGAATATTTTAGAACTGGGTAAGGGTTCCATGATTTCGACCAGAACTTCCTTTTCTTCTTCTCAACAAAGCTAGGAAAAACATTTGATTCCATAGCTCACCAAGCCAGTAACTATGCTAAAGTAAAACGTTGCTTTATTTCTTAAAGGTAATTTAAATATAGAAATAGTATAGAATTAATAGTATAGTATAAATAATCAAATGTGTAAACTCTTCTCTTTTATATCCACTGGAGCCACACAGAAATACTTTCCCACTGACCTATTCATCTTCCTTATAAATTAGATCTAATATATCCCATTCTGAGACCATAGTAAGGCTGAAATATACACATGGAAGGAAGCTCCGTTGAATGTAATAGAATTGAATTTTGAGTAGATATTCATAGCAAGATGCTGTAAACTTATAACTAAATGTCCACTGACAGTAAAAAGTGCATCTAAATGCCATTGTTTTGGACTGCTTTATGAGCCAAAAGACAAGTATCCTGGGCTTTTAGGACTGTTTGGCACTGCTGCTACAGAAGAAAGTAGAGGCAGGTATGGAATAAGTTAACCAATAAAATATTGTCATATTATTGTTATAAGCTTGAACTAGGAACTAGAACCCGATTTAAATTTCATTTCAGTTATGATTTCCTTGTTCCCATTCCAAATTTGTAGTATGGGATATAACATTACATGCACATCTTACAGGGCTGCTAAAGCACACAAGAAGGATTATTCTGGATTAGGCCAGACAAGCAATTATAATCAGATAGTGGCCAAGCAGCTGCTTGCCCCATTTCATCCATGTTACCCAGCAACTGATTTGCTTAAGCATAGTAGCATATAGTTATCTTGGGCAAAGCATGTGAAACTATGTAAATGCTATATAAACACTATGCATGGGTGCCAAGAAGCTTAAAACTAAGAAGAAATCTAAAATGTATATAATGGAGTGGGAAAATAATTATAGGGGACAATTGTAGGGTAACAAAGATTATAGTGAGAATAAGGGAAAGGTAAGCTTGGAAGAGAAAAATCCTATTAAATGAGAATGGGAATAAGATGTCTGTGTCTAGATCAGAATAGCAGTGGATGGTATTCAGAGTGAATGACAATGACATAGTTGTAGAGTTTCCATTCATCAACAACCAAAACAAGAATTTGCTTGTTGTGTGCTGAGTACTATTGCCTGCTCTGGCTCGCATTGGCTATCTGAAATCACTGACAGGGTCTTTCCCAGACCAGCCAGCTGAGATCACATTAATTGAAATGGCAGGGATCAAACATGAATCCTTCTGCATTCAAAGTTGCATGTGCTTAACCACTAACTTATGACTACATCTCCCTTACATCTAACTTGGAAAGTGTAGCTGCATTTGAATTAAACAGTCCTACCTGCAAAGTCATAGTTACTACATTTTTGATTAGCCTAACTAAACACTTAGAATGACCTGTATGTTTTCCACTTGTATGTTTTCCATAGATCCCATAAACCCATAGAAAGCTGAGTGTAATATCTAGGTGTACTAAGCCAACCAACCCCCCTTGAAAAAGAAGGAATACCTTTAAAAGAATTAATAACAACAACCCAAACTCTAGCCAACAAATTAATAACAACACAATTTTTTATGTTTTTATATCCTATATAGTGCTATAGACTATAGAAGAAATTACTGACAGAAAATCACAGAAAAAGTATTACTTCCACTACCAGGCAAAGGCTAAATTCCAAATAACCTTGAACTCTATAAGGCATAGGAAATAATCATGAAACAGAACACTGAAAAGAGCTAACAGAGAAACTTAGATGCATATTTTTATCATTTAAATTTCTAATTAATTATCTTTCATCACTACTAAAAAAAATGACTCTTGAGAAATTTACTAATATTCCATTATTTATATTTACATTGTCTATTTAATCTATTTTGATTTACAACTAAACATAAGTTTTATATGAATCTTATAAAAGAATAAGCATTTTGAAAAAATCTTCAGAATTTTGAGAGTGGGCGGGGTAAACTCCCACATGAAATTTCATGGTATTTCACATGAAATCTATAGTGACTAGAAAATTGCAATAAACTGCTCTGTATTAACAGGAAAGTTAATACAGGAAAGTTTCAAATATAATGTT